CAAAATCAAGTTGGGTTATTAGAGCTCAAGCCCCCATTAACAAATATTGTTCGTTTTGGTCCACGTATCGCCACCAGTCCTACGGTTTTAAAACGCATCTATTAGGGAGAGGTTTCCATATTCTTATGAAAAATGTTTTGTTCTCCTATCCAACAGATGTGGGATCTCACAATCCACCCCCTTGAGGGCCAACATATTGGTTGGCACACCGCCTGGTGTCTGGTTCTGATACTATTTGTAACAGACCATGCCCACCGCTAGTAGATATTGTCCGTTTTGGCCTGTTATATATCGCTGTCAGCCTCACGGTTTTAAAACGTGTCTACTAGGGAGAGGTTTCTACATCTTTATGAGAAATGCTTCGTTCTCTTCTCCAACCCATGTGAGATCTCACAATCCACCCCCTTTGGGGGCCAGCGAGGAATATTGTCCGCTTTGATCCGTAACGTATCGCCACTAGCCCTACGGTTTTAAAACATGTCTACTAGGGAGAGGTGTCAACATCCTTATGAAGAATGTTTCGTTCTCCTCTCCAACTGAGATGAGATCTCATAGGCAATAGTACACCCTTTGACATTTCTACCCCCACAGAACAGAAAAGGTTATTCACTCATAAACTAGAATCAATACCCATTACCTAAAAATATACAAACATATATTGCACATACAGATTTATGAATCATGCTTCAGCTTCTATACAACAAACAGAGTTGTGGTAAATGCCCTCCTCCACGGCTAAGATCTGGCAAAGACACCCCAGATTTTAGCACGGCTAAGACTTATCAACAGCTTCTTTGACCCCTCAACATTCATTTCAACAAGCTTTTGTAGATACAAACCAGCACCAGCACCAGCCATCAGCTTTCTACACTTGCTTGAAATCACAACCGAGGCTAATAATGAAACGGGGTACTTCTTATCCAGATTCAAGATTGAAGGATCTAAGAGATGAACTGCACTTACAATTCCCCTCTCCTCTTTCTGGAAAATTCTTCTGTTACCATTATATTGTAATAGAGAAGACAACGCCTTAGCAGCTGCTGTTTTCTCATCAACAGACTTACCATCCAACATATTAACTAAGGGAGTGATGAATCCAGATTCCCCCATTTCTTTTCTTGCTTTTGTGCAGAAGCTGAGCTCGTAAACTGCTCGAGCTGCTGCAATTCGCGCACCTAATACTCCGCAACTCAAAACTGGAAGAAGCCGATCAAGAAATCCCTCTGAAATAAGAGTTTCTGCAATGGGAGAATAAGAAGCCAAGAGGCTCAAAAGCTCAACAGCCACTTCAAGACTACGAACTGATGGAACCGAATCCCAGAAAATTTTCAAGAACTCGATCCCACCTTCTTTAACGATCAAGAGCTTCAAATTATCATCATCTACAACTAGATTACACAAACAACCAATTGCATTTTCTTGAGCCAATGGAGTTCCAGAGGTCAAAAGCCCCAAAAGAACTATAACCCCATTTTCTTCAATGAAGTTCTCTTTGATTTCGCCAAATGATGCAAGATTTCTCAAAACCGCAGCTGCAGAGGCTTGAGAACCGGGAGTTCCGGCCTCACAAATCTCCAACAGAGATGAAATCCCTCCTCTGGAACCGATTGACCTAGCATTTTGCTTGGAAATACTCAGAGATTGGAGAGCTAAACAGGACTTCTCTTTTGCAAAACCGCTACCAGAATCGAGAATCCTCAGCAAGTGATTCAAAAGCACGATTCCTTCAGCAATCATTACATTCTTAACGCCATCCACCGTAGAAACAATGGAAATAGCAGCAACAGCCTTCTCCTTCAATTCTAAAGAACTGGAATCCAGTAGCCGAACCAGAACAGGAACAGCCCCTTGAGCCGCAGCAATGGTGACATTCTTATCATCCTCATTCAACAACTGCAACAGAGAATCAATAGCCAATACTCTGGATTCAATGCTTCCAATCTGTAACCTAGTGATCAAATTCCTGGACTCCGCCCGCACGGCCTCCCTTCTAGACGAGGAACTCGAAATCACACCGTCGTGAAGAATCTCACTCTTAATCAACACATCACCGTCTTTGAGTAGGCAGTCTAACTTCGTGAGAACGGAGAGAATATCGCTTTGAGTCTTGAGTTTACCATCGGAAACTCCCGGATTGCGGCACTTGTGCGAGAGAGAAGCCGCTTGAGTAAGAGTTTCTATAACAGAGTGAAGGAAATCGAGAGAGAGCGGATTGGAAGAAGATTTGGGAAACTCAGAAACATCGATCAATTGAGCGCGAAGATCCGAGAGTTTGGCGGCCATGGAAGACCATTTGCCCTTGAAATCGTTGATGAGTGGAATATCATCAAGAACAGAAGAAATGAGATTGTTAGAGAGAAGGAAATGGCTGTTTTCTGGAGGTACTTTCATGGCGTTGAGTGAAGGAAGGAAGGATGGAGACGGAGATTCTACAACGAAGAATCTGCGAAAGGTATGAGAACGCCACTAAATTTGCAGGTACTTGTAGAAGAAAATCTCACGCACAAATAAATAAATAATATTAACAATAAAATTATAAAATTATTATTAAATCCTATCTAAAATAAAAATAAAAAATAAAAAAAAATGGTAGTAGATATTACCGTTACTAATCCGACTAGTAAATGTTTGATATTTGTAATATTTATTTAAATTTGATATTTAAAATTAATTTTTGTACGTTATTTTTATATAATCTATGATATGAGTTTTTTAATAACTTTTTGTTAATTAATTATTTTTTAAATTTAATAAAAGAACGATTATTAGCTTAACTAATTATTTTTATATATATTAGTCCCTACCGCTAAATTAGTTTATTGTTGATTTTTTAAAAAATATTTACTTTCTATTAACTTTCCTTTATAAATTATGAAAATACATTAAAAAAATATATATATTATTATTTAAATAATTTTGATAAAAAATTATTAAATTCAAGATTTATTAAAAAAAAAAAAAAAGCAGTAAATAAAGAAGAGTTGAACAATTGGGGTGTGTGTTAATTAAGAAGGCGACCTATTGTGTCTCCTTGTCTATAAAAATATATATTATAAGATAATTGTTTGACAGCGAATTTTTAATAAAATTTTAATTTTAAAATTTTAATAAACTAAATTTATCATTTTAATTCTTTTCACAAAAGAATTTATTCTTTGAGTGAGATAATGCAATTCCAAAAGAAAAATTATTTTCCTCTCATAAATAAATATTTATGCTTATGGTCTTGAATTAAATCCTCTATTTTTATTGAATTATTCTTTGAGTGTTATTTTAATTCATAATGTTAAATTAATAGTATTATTTGGCCCTAAATATATGAAATAATTATCATAATTATGACTTTTCTATGAATTTGTTCCTTATTTGTTTTTTCGTTCGGCTAGAATAGAGGTTGGGATATAGTGATATATGCTCTTGGTGATTAATGGATGTTATCTTCCCGTTCAGCTTACGTGGATGTTTAGATTATGTTTTTGATGTTTTAGGTAATCGATAGAAATATCTCTCTAATAAGTAGAGTGTAATAGTGTATTGTAATCTCTTCTCGATTGGTTTTAATAAAAAGTGTGAATGTTTTCCACAAAAATTTGTGTTCCATAATATGGTATTTGAGTAAGATTGGTGTAGGTTGTCTGATCTTTTGGAATTCTTAGTATTTTTGTGTTGTGAGTAGTCTGCGACTCTGCAAGTTTGGTATATGATGGGTGATTTCGAAATCGTTTGAGGAATCAATATACTCGTCAGCAATAATGGCACTTTGTGTAAATGTGTTAGAGCATATTTGGGATGACAAGACACTAAAAGAAGCATGAGACACGTTTGTCATGTTGTTCTTAAAGAAGAACGATATTGTTTATAAACCCATGATCATTCCCTTAATCGAGGCATCTATTGGCACGACTAAGTTTAGGGCATGGCTCTGATACCATGTTAGACAAACACGACTTTCCATAATGGTATGATATTGTCCACTTTGAACATAAGCTCTCATGGTTTTGCTTTGGGCTTCTCCAAAAAGTCTTACACTAATGGAGAGAGTATTCTTTGTTTATAAACTCATGATCATTCCCTCAATTAGTCGATGTGAGACTTTCAGGGCTCGAATTGTAGCTCTAGGGTTCTGATCTCAAATATGGACTAGACTATGATGAAATGTTTAGTTCAGTGGCAAAGATCACTACCGTACAAGTTCCTTCAACACTTGCAGTAAGTAAAGATTGGAAATTATGGCTAATGAATGTGAATAATGCTTTCTTACACGAAGAGTTGAACCGAAAGATCTACATGATCTAATTGAAGTAATGATTGATATGCAAAGTCCAGAGAAGTCTTATTTAGATGTAGCTCGACAGATCGTATGATATGTTAAAGGTACAATTGACTATGGTTTTTTGTACAAAAGAAGTGAAGACTCCAACCTAACTGGATGTGATGCTGACTATGCACGATATCATGATACCCAAATATCAAGCATTGAGTATGTGTTCAAACTCGGTTCGAAATCAATTTCTTGGCGTAGCAAAAGACAACCAACAACATCATTGTCAATTGCTGGAGCATCTGAAAGAACGTACATGGTTGAAACTCTTAACAGAGGATATGCCTTTAAAATTTTCTTCTAATAAAATTTTTAACTTTCAATTTGGAACATTTATTAAAATTGATAAGTCCATTAAATCTTTTATTACATAAATTTTTTTAATTTTAGGTTAAAAAAATATTTTTAGTCATTAAACTTTAAGAAAAAATCGAGCATTACATATCAAATTTTATTAAATTTTAGTAATAGTTAAATAATTAATAGATTAAAAGTAATATATTAGACACAATATTAAAAATTTTAAACGAATTTCAAAACAAAAACATTTTGTTGATGGGATCATCAAGATTGAAGCAACTGTGAGTTTGATCGATCGGACGGCCAGGAGAAAGTAAACGAGTTGGGACCCACATTTGATGATTCAACCTCACCTGTATCCAAACCCATCCTTCTCTTCTATCTAGGGTTTTCGCTCACTGGACATTCGCCAATAATTCTCTCTTCCACCCACACCTCGCTATCTAATTTGAATTTTGACCTCAATCAATCCGATTCGCTTCCCAGGGCGTCCCAGATAATCCAACTTTGTAAGTTTGCTTCCCTCTTTCTTCTTCTCTGCCTGCTCTGGCTCGAGTTTTCCGCGAGAAATCTTGCAATTTCTGAGAGTTGATTTTCATTTTTGTAATTGTCGTTTGGAATTTGAATATTCTGCGTGTGGGAAAGTGGGAGAGAGCGTTGTATTTTCGCTTTTATCTATATGGGGAAATCTGGGACTCGAAAGAAGAAGGGTGGTTCGAATCATGCTTCTTCGGCTGTTAATTCGACTCCAAATGCTAATGGGGGTGTTGATTTGGATTCTTCTATCTTTTTGAAAAGAGCTCATGAGTTGAAAGAAGAGGGGAATAAAAGGTTCCAGAATAAGGATTTTGTTGGTGCTCTTGAACAGTATGAAAGTGCGCTTCGTCTTACTCCCAAAACCCACCCTGATCGAGCTGTGTTTCATAGTAATAGAGCCGCTTGTTTGATGCAAATGAAACCAATTGATTATGATACTGTTATTGCTGAGTGTACCATGGCCCTCCAGGTCCAGCCTCGATTTGTTCGTGCTCTTCTTCGGAGGGCTCGTGCTCTTGAGGCTATTGGGAAGTATGAAATGGCAATGCAGGACGTGCAGGTCTTGTTGGTCGTCGATCCTAACCTTCGAGATGCTCTTGACATCGCCCAACGGTTGAGGGCTGCTGTTGGACCTCGACAGGAGGCTCAACAGGACCTTCAGAGCCGTCCGTCTCCTGCTGCTTTAGGTGCCTCGGCCGTTGGTGCTCCCATTGCAGGCTTAGGTCCATGTTTGCCTGCTCGACCGGTTCAGAAGAAAGTGGCAGCCTCCATGGGGGGTGCTACAGTACTGCTAAATAGTAAAGTGGAGAAGCATCAGGGTGTTCTAACTACTGAAAATGGCCCAAATGAACCCAAATTGCAATTTCCCAAAGTAGTCTTGAAGCCTTCAAGTGGGTCTTCTAAGGCTCCTAATGTAAGTGAAGATAAACTGAAGGAAGATTCACTTTCTTCCTTGTCATTGCATGCTCAAAGTCGAATCCAAGAACCTAATGTTCAGTTGAGGCCTTTGAAGCTTGTCTATGACCATGACATAAGGCTTGCCATGATGCCAGTGAATTGCAGCTTCAAAGATCTTAGAGAGATTGTGAGCAAACGTTTTCCGTCGTCAAAATCTGTTTTGATCAAGTATAAAGACGCAGATGGGGATCTGGTGACGATAACCTGTACAAGTGAACTCAGACTGGCGGAGTTTTGTGCCGATAGCTTTGTTCCTAAGGACCCTGAGGTAGATAAACCTGCTTCATTTGGAATGCTTAGATTGCATGTTGTAGAGGTGAGTCCTGAGCAAGAACCACCTTTGTTGGGAGAAGAGGACGAGAAACCTATCGAGAGTGAAGAATCCAAGGGAGATGACAGTGGGCACGTTTCACCTCTCAGGGAGTCTGTAGCAGAAGCTACTGATTCTGAAAATGATAAGAAGATAGAGAAAGAAGTTCCGAAGGAAAAACCAGGAGCTTTGGAAGATCCCGAGTGCAAGGAAGTTGAGATGGACGATTGGTTATTTGAATTTGCTCAACTTTTCCGAACGCATGTTGGTATTGATCCAGATGCCCATATAGATTTGCACGAGCTTGGAATGGAGCTCTGCTCCGAGGCTCTTGAGGAGACGGTAACTAGTGAAGAAGCTCAGAAGCATTTTAACAAGGCAGCATCAAAATTCCAGGAGGTTGCTGCTTTAGCTTTCTTCAACTGGGGTAATGTTCATATGTGTGCTGCAAGGAAACGTATTCCTTTAGACGAGTCGTCTGGAAAGGATATCGTGGCAGAGCAGCTTCAAACTGCTTATGAATGGGTGAAGGAGAAGTACACCCTAGCAAGAGAGAAATACGAAGAGGCGCTTTTGATCAAGCCCGACTTTTATGAAGGTCTATTGGCTCTTGGCCAACAGCAGTTCGAAATGGCTAAACTTCATTGGTCTTTTGCACTAGCTAAGAAAATCGACCTCTCAAGTTGGGATTTTACAGAAACACTCGAACTTTTCGACAGTGCAGAAGAGAAAATGAAAGTAGCGACCGAGATGTGGGAAAAAATGGAGGAGCAGAGGGCGAAAGAGCCGAAAGATCCAACCGCAACCAAGAGGGAAGAGTTACTGAAGCGACGAAAGAAACAGGCGGGTAGTGCAGACAGTGAAATGCAGGGAATAGGTGGTCAGTTTGAGGTATCACCCAATGAAACTGCTGAGCAAGCAGCACTAATGAAATCCCAAATCCATCTTTTCTGGGGCAATATGCTGTTTGAGAGGTCCCAAGTTGAATGTAAAATAGGAACAGGAGATTGGAAGAAGAACCTCGATGCTGCTGTAGAACGATTCCAACTTGCTGGAGCTTCCGAGGCTGACATTTCTGTCGTTTTGAAGAATCATTGTTCGAACGAAAATGCTGTGGAAGGGGACGATAAGACGAGTCTAGACATAAACAGCAAGGCGAATCAAGAAAAGGAAGATATCGTTAAGGAGGTCGATCAAGCATCTGGGTAGCTGATAGAAATGATGGTACAATCACTTTATAAAACCGAATGCCGAAATTCATTAGAACAAACCAAAGAAAAGAAATCACATTGTTTCAGCCTGGCACGAGGAGGATGGCTGGCTCCTTTCGACCGTCGCATTGGAGGATGCCCGACACTCATAGCGTGCAGGTTATGAACTCGGACTGGTAACTTTCTTCATAATTTGACAAGTAAGCAAATAATTTGTGTGCCAGATTGATTGATTGATGATTTTTGTGTTGAAGAAACGAAATGAACTGATTCTGGTTTTGCCTCAATAATTTGAACTTACAATTTCAACAAATAAATAAAAAAAAATAAAAAAAGTCTGAAGTTTGAAGATTGTATGTTGAAGTTGTAGATTTCCCCGACCTCTTCTCTTCACAGCAACTCGTTTTAATCTTTGTTCTCGTGAAATTCTTTATTTTTTTTTTTGTTATTTTTACAGGGATTGGAGAGAAGATTCTCTACGAAAATTTCACGATATAGAGTGCCTCAATTATTAAAAAAACCGTTCTCATAGATCTAATAATATTTCATAAACAAAGATATAATTTCTATAAATTTAAATTTATTATCATACTCAAATAAATAGAAACAAGAAATATATACAGAGGGATGTAGAATTCTATGTTGATTTAATCAATAGATTTGGGGTCTCACAGGATCCTGTTTCAAATGGGATGTAGAATTCTATGTGATTTGGGGTCTCACAGGATCCTGTCTCTATGTTGATTTAGAATTCTATGTGATTTGGGGTCTCACAGGATCCTGTCTCTATGTTGATTTAATCGGTAGATTTGGGGTCTCATAAGATCTTGTTTCAAACGGGACGTAGAATTCTTGTTTAAATGAAGAATGAGGTGGGGTCTCATAAGATCTTGTTTCAAACGGGACGTAGAATTCTTGTTTAAATGAAGAATGAGGGAGGGACCATAGCAACAGTAGATTTGGGGTCTCACAAGATCTTGTTTCAAACGAGACGTATAATTCTTGTTTAAATGAAGAACGAAGGAGGGACCATAGCAAGATTTTTCTTCGATAGATAGCTCAATGAGACCCAGGCAAAATAGGATGGGGAATCCTAATGAGAATGAGAGACCAATGAGAGAGTTCTCTAGCTAGGGATAGGTTCAGTATGATATTTAATTACATGCTATTAAATTAAATAAATGTGTATGTTTGTGTGATATATGTGCATTCACATTCGATTGATCATTATACATATGTTAATCGAGATACCATAAACATGATTATATATATATTATATATATATATATTTTTTTACGAGGGAGCACAAATATGAATTTTGTACCTGCTATACAAAAGAATAAACTATAAATTATATTTGAGACCTCATACAAGTTGAATGATCATAGATTACTTCTTCAGTTACATAAAGTACGTACGCATATACTTATGATATTGTTCGTATTCCTCTTTTTTTCATCGGCTTCAATAGTATGAGCGTGTGATTACCCATAGTCTACTTTAGAGGATACGTTAACGAGTCCGCCCAGTGAGTCCATGTGCATGTGTAGACTATGCATAGAAATATATTATGCATCCAATAATACCCGAAAATGAAAGTAGAATTTAAGGAACAACCGTGAAATTAGATTCCAAAAGTCATTTTTTGGATTCTTGGTCAAAATCCTAAACGTCCTTTTTATTTTTATATGTTTTTCTAAATAATAATAATTTTTTAATAAAATAGTTTTCTATTATACAAATTTTTTTTTGTAAGACTATTCCACTCGAAACCTTAAAAAATTAAGAACATAAGTAATGTATGACTCGTATATATTTAATATTTAAATTTTATAAGATTTTAGTTATTAATTTAATATATACACAGATAATTAGTAAATTTTGAAATTGGTATAAAAGATTTTTTAAAAAAAAAAACTACTAAAATCCAAAAAAGAAGAACTACCCTAACGACCGGCGTTAGGAAACGACGCTCACCCTTAACTAACTGATCTTCCGCATTCCGCAAGGCGGGACGTTGAAAGTCCGGAAGGAAGATCTTCTTGATCTTATCCACACTCAAATCTCCACTATTTCATTGATTCATTCATATATCCACTCTAACAATCTCCTCTCATTTTCATCTTTCTACTTCGATTCCATTCTCTGCAAGCAATGTCTCCACCTTTCATCGCTAATGCCGACGTTTCCACCGTCAATGCAGCTTCTCCGCCGGTGATCTCCCCGGTTTCTTCTGAGTGTAGCGAACTGCAAGCCCACCGTATCGATCAACCTCTCCCTTTCCCCTCTGTTCTAAAAAATCCGTTCAAATTCGTCGATGGTCCTCCTAGCTCCGCCGCTGGCAATCCGGGTAATTTTAGCCATGATAACTTGTTTTTGGTACACTGTTTGGTATTTAGTTGGTTGATGACTCCAAGGAAGAGTTAATTATTTATTCTACGCATACAGATGAGATCGCGAAGCTGTTTCCTAGTCTATTCGGTCAACCGTCGGCAATGTTGGTGCCAAGTGATTCCAGTTTGGTACAGATGAATCAGAAATTGAAGATTGGAGTTGTGCTGTCTGGTGGCCAAGCACCCGGAGGACATAATGTGATTTCTGGACTATTTGGTAGGTTCTTATTTTGTCCAGCTTTATAAATAAAGAATGAATGCTTGTTTTTCTGTTCAAGCTGTGGGTTAATTAGCATCATCTACGATTTTGGTGAAGATTATCTACAGGATCATGCAAAAGGAAGCACGTTGTATGGATTCAAGGGTGGCCCTGCAGGGATCATGAAGTGCAAATATGTAGAACTCACTGCAGAATTTATCTACCCATATCGCAATCAGGTTTGTACGATCAAAGAATGTTAGTGTGAATATGTGTAGTCTTGATGCGAAGTGGTTGCCATTTGAATGCGGTTCTTGATTTAAATGCAAATTTCTTTTATCAGGGTGGTTTTGATATGATATGCAGTGGGAGGGATAAGATTGAAACTCTAGAACAGGTGATACTCTTTCTTTCCTGAATTAGCATTATGAGACCCCTTAATTGTGTTGTTAGGAATCATACTCTCCGCAATGGTATGATATTGTCCACTTTGAGCATACCCTCAAATGACCTTGTTTTTGGTTTCCCCAAAAGTCATCGTACCAATGGAGATGTATTCCTTACTTATAAATCCACGATCATTCCCTAAATTAGTCAATGTGGGACTCCCTCCCAACAATTCTCGTAGTGAAAGACATAAATTGACAATTTGGTTTAATTTTCAGTTTAAGCAAGCTGAAGAAGCAGCTCAGAAGCTTGATCTGGATGGGCTTGTTGTAATTGGTGGAGACGACTCCAACACAAATGCTTGTCTCCTCGCTGAATATCTTAGGTACTTTTGAGAACTATGAAATTCTCTTTCTCATGATCATATATGGATAAGCTATTATACATGATTTTGGGCGCTACTAAACTAAGGATGTAATTGCCTAAGGGTTCTTATTTATCCTGTTATGTACTGTTCCATTGTACTCGGTTGCTTATCAAATCCAGGAGTAAAAATTTGAAAACCAGAGTAGTTGGTTGCCCTAAAACTATTGATGGTGATCTCAAGTGCAAAGAAGTCCCCACAAGTTTTGGATTTGATACAGCTTGCAAGGTCCTCACTTCTCTTTGGAACTGCTTTAGAATTCATATTTCTTGTAGACTCAACTTCGATCAATGTTTCAAAGTTGAAGTAGTTTCTTCAATAATTCAAGTAAAAAGGAATATTGCTGATGTTTTTGCAGATATATTCAGAAATGATTGGTAATGTGATGGTTGATGCTCGATCAACAGGAAAATATTATCACTGTAAGCATTTTGCTTAATGAAAATAAAACTAGAAATGGATCTGATCTGCTGATATTTTCATAATAACTGAATTCTTGAGGACTTCAATTATCAGTATTTCGAGTTCGGATTTATCGTTAGTCCACGTTCTATCCATCATTGTTCCAGTTCACCGGTTCTCTACTCTGAGTATAAGCTATGCCATTTTCTGTACCATTCTGTGGATCTTAAAGTTCCTAAATTCTTATCTTGTCCGTTTCAAAAAATTGAAAAAAACATATATCTGGTTGCTTCACCTGCCAAAAATAGAGCACTTCTCTCTGTTTGACTTCATGTTTCTATTCCCTACTGGATCTGCCTAATGCAACATTGTATTGATTCATTGCTAATGTTGATACTCAAGCAAATTGTCATATGGCATTATTACTGTAAATATATCCACAGTTGTACGGCTCATGGGTCGTGCTGCTTCTCACATCACACTGGAATGTGCTTTGCAAACTCATCCAAACATTACTATTATTGGAGAAGAGGTAGCTGCTTTACTTAAACTACTCAACACAGAAATCTTAGGGCATTTACCATTGTATGCTATACCCTAGGGTTGTTTGAAAATCTGTTCTTTTCCACCTGGTTGATTCATGGAGATTTAATCTAATTAATTGATTGATGGTATGCAGGCGAAAAAAGTTTCAGACATTAAATATACTCGTTTTTAGATATAGTTTTAGTTTATAGTGTGCTCCTAATTTACAACTTGTTTTGAAGGTTGCAGTTAAGAAGCTTACCTTGAAAAACGTTACAGAGTACATTGTGGATGTAATTAGTAAACGTTCCGAACTTGGTTATAATTATGGTGTCATACTAATTCCCGAGGGTCTGATTGACTTCATTCCTGAGGTACTGCGCTTGTTAATATAGTCAATTGTGTTTATTTCTTTAGCTTGTATGCTCATCATCCACTAAACCCAAGATACTTGATATCAATAATATCATTCTTGAACTGGTACTCATTTATAACCTGCTTTCTACAGGTGCAGCAGCTTATTGCAGAACTCAATGAAATTCTCGCCCATGATAATGTAGATAAGGATGGAATATGGAAAAAGAAACTTACAACTCAATCTCATCACCTTTTTGAATTTTTCCCACCAGCAATCCAAGAACAATTGTTGCTTGAAAGAGATCCACATGGCAATGTTCAAGTAAGTATTTTTTGTTGTTGTTGTTATATCTTTTCGTAGGATTCCTAGTTTGATGAACTACATTATGTTTCTTACATGTCAGGTTGCGAAAATAGAAACTGAGAAAATGCTTATACAAATGGTTGAAACTGAGTTGGAAAAGAGGAGGCTAGAAGGTGCATATAATGGTGGCCAATTCAAGGGGCAGTCGCATTTCTTTGGGTACCCATTCTGTTCGTGCTTGAACTTCTGCTATTTTAAGTCGACGCTCCTGTTTTTATCACACATTGTGTTTAGCTCTAAACAGGTCTATAACCTTTTAACCTTGTGTATAATTTGACTCTGTTTAATTCTTCTTTTCATTTATAGGTATGAAGGGAGATGTGGTTTACCCACAAACTTCGATTCAGCATATTGCTATGCTTTGGGTTACACTGCTGGAGCTCTCCTTCAGAGTGGAAAAACTGGACTAATATCATCGGTCTGTCTTTCCCACTTCCTGATTGGTTTATTCTCTAACCTTTTAACCTTTCATTTATTTTTTCTGGTTATCCATTTCCTCGGTAGATTATTGTGAGATCCCACATCAGTTGGAAAGGGAAACGAAGCATTCTTTATAAGAGTGTTGAAACCTCTTCCTAATGGTTGACAGCGATACGTAACGAGTTAAAATAATATCTGCTAGCAGTGGGCTTAGGCTTTTACAAATGGTATTAGAGCTAGGCATCGGGTGGTGTGTCAGCGAAAACGTTGGCTCCCAAGATGGGTGGACTGTGAGATCTCACATCAGTGAGGGAAACGAAACATTCCTTATAAGGGTGTGGAAACCTCTCCCTAGTAAACGCATTTTGAAACCATGAGGCTGATGACGATACGTAATGGACTAAAAGGGATAACTACCGCTAGTAGTGGGCTAGGGGTGTTACAATTATTTTCTTCACCTCATTTCTATTACTTATATGTTAGTTATGCATACCAGGTAGGAAATTTGGCCGCCCCAGTTGAAGATTGGACGGCTGGCGGAACTGCATTGACTTCATTAATGGATGTGGAGAGGAGACACGGTATGTTTACTTCATGAAAACGTGCCTTCCTTTTCTCTTGATATTATTTGGTCTATAGAATACTGTTTTGGGGGGTATAAGGAAACGAAATGACAGGGTATATAGAATCCATCCCAAATGAGAACATTTGATTTTATATCAAATTCACGTATACGTGAGTGATAAAGGTTTTACAAGAATACAGTTTTGGAGTCGATGAATTAAAAAGATTCTCTATCTGAACAACTTTGAAAGGCTTTGGAACAGAACATTTTGATGAAGTCTAAGCTTAACTTAATGTTCATCATTTGATCTCCTTCTAAAGGTAGAATTCATATGGCAGGTAAGTTCAAGCCTGTGATCAAGAAGGCAATGGTGGAACTCGGTGGTAATATTTCTCAGAAGAACTTTATTACTACTACTACTACTACCTTCTTCACTCTCATGTGCGGGCTTGAAAGCCAAGCATCGTACTAAAATTCTATGATTCTGTGGTTAGGTGCACCTTTCAAGAAATTTGCATTGTTTAGAGAGCAGTGGGCTGTCGAGAACCAATATATCAGTCCAGGTTGGTATTCGCCCTTCCGATTTAGATCAACTTTTTAAAGTAGGGAAAAACACTTTTTTTTTTTTTTTTCCCTTCACTTTAAGCACTTAGAAAGTCAATTCAACGCACAAACTTTCACGTCATTTTCTCGGTTCTTAGAAGAAAATACCTGTCTTCTTTTCCGAGTCCATTTCAGGAAATGGAACCTTCAAATACTTTATTTCGTTTTGATCTACTTGCAGGTCCAATTCAATTTGTTGGTCCTACCTCAAATGTGCTTAATCATACTTTGTTGTTGGAACTCGGGGCTAAAGCGTGACCATATTCAACTATCAACCTCCCTCAAGAAAGAGAAAAAAGAGAACTATCTCGAATGCATGTCGATCTTTAGAATTGTCATGATTCTCATTGAAACTTTTTTTTTAATAACTATTTTTATTTATAGTGGAATAAGCTCTTATTAGATTCTTAAAACTTGTTTTATGTGGTAATATAATTGAGATTGACACAGAAAGATAGAAGTCCGACCCGACCCCATAAGGAGTTTTGGTCAAAGACCCTTGATGATCAGCTACCCTATAGATCAACCAAGGCCTTGCATGTTCGACTCCATGCAAAAAAAAATCATCTAAAATATGTTCCTCGTCGTCGTTCAACCATTCGAGTTTCTTGAAAGTTTAAATTGAATTTAACTATATATAATTATTTTTTAATTATTTATTCTCAAACAACTTTAAAAATAAGTTTAAGAATTTAATTTTTAAAATATACATTAAAATTAATTGAATAGTTGAAAATAAATAAATAACATTTATTTTTATTAAAAAATAAATGAATAAATGATTCTACATGATCAATTATTTTACATTAGAAATTATTTAATAAAATTTACTTAAATTAATTTAAAAAAGAAAAGAAAAAAAAAATACTCGATCAAACTCAAAAACCAATAAAATAGAAGCCAATCTCCAACGAACAAAGTGGATTTTGAATAATAATAAATAATAAAGAAAGAAAGAAAGAAAAGAAAAAAGGTCGTACCAGAATCCTCCAGCCTGCGAACATACGCGACTTTCCTCAAGATCCTCTCCTCTTCCCCTTTGCCTTACTTCGATCAGCGTCTTCAATGGCATCACGGGATGAGAAGCCGTCGAAGCCCTGCAGCAGTCGGACCGGGGGTATTCGAACCCTTTCCGATCTTAACCGACGGTCCCCTGATTCTGTTGGCGACCCCGATGCTCCTCAAGAGTATTACACCGGTGGTGAGAAGAGGTCTCTTTTCTGCCCTAATTTTTACTTCCTTTTTCTTCTTGCTTTTACTTACGTCAATTTCTATTCCATTTCATTCCATTCCATCAGGACAATGATTCTTCTTCCGTTTTCATACCTAATCTTAATATGTATGCCCTCATCCTTCTTCTCAATTGAAAGGTTATGGAAAATTCATTTCATTCCGGATTCGTCTAAAACATCGTTCCATAAATTTTGGTCACATGGGGTCCGGTATGAACAAGTAGCCATTCTGATAAAGCCAACTCTAATTCTAGCTCCTGTTGAACAAAAAAACCCTTGAAAATTCATTTGTCGATAAGCTTGTGCTTGTTTGGAGGGATCATCATAAATGATTAAAGTGTGTTGTTTTACAGAGGATCAACTAGATCAACTAATAGATAAGTCTAGAATTAGATTACCTCTGAGACACTCCACCATCGAACTTGATCAAAACTTGATTGAATGACTCTATGCAATCTACCACAAGCATTGTTAGAAAATTGAGACACTCCGCAATCGAATTTGATCAAAACTTGATTGAATGACTCTATGCAATCTACCACAAGCATTGTTAGAACCTTGTTTTAAACTGAGACACTCAACAATCGAACTTGATCAAAGATGTATGACTCTGTTGCAATCTACCACAAGAATTGATTGAAACTTAAATGAACTATGCTCAAATTTCTAAGAGTGTGCCTTTTAAGTAGTAATTTGTGAGTATTTAGAGTCTCTCCTCTAAATCTACAACGTGAAGTCAATTTGACAAATAACTTCCCATCCTTTTGATCCCTACAAGAATTATAAAATTAAAAATAATAAATAAAGTTTTGTAACAACTTATCAATTAAGTGCAATTTATAGCAATTTCATCCGCTACTTCAACCGTGTAAATATTCCCTTCTGGAACTGCAAATTGTTCTTCCTCAATCGAATAACCTTGTAACACATGAAATAATAGTTGAACCAAGCTTATCAAATTTTGTAGATGAAGAATGAATGATTGTTGAATCTTCTCGTAATAGGTCCCTCCTATACAGCGATCATCATTTGGAGAACTTGGAGGAGGTAACCTCTTCTGAACTCTGTTCTATTTACCCACCATTTTCCCACCAAGTATTAGCAAACTCCTGGCAAAAAAATTTAACTATATACTTTTTCCAAATTCCAATTGAAAACTTGACAAAACCGAAGAAGAGAGCCCAATTCTTACTGATATCAAACCAAGGTCTTCCACCACCAGCAGTCTTAGTCTCCACGGCCTTCCAACCACTGGAATTACAACCATAAATGGAAACAATCACTTTCCTCCAAAAGGCCTCCTTTTCAAAGCTAAACCTCCCCAACCATTTTAACAAGAGGGAGGTGTTATATACCGAAGAGAACCTACCCCCAAACTGATATGATAAGGAATCACTACAAGGAGAGTAAGATTCGGATTACCTTGTTGATCGAATATCTCAAGGCAAGAACATTGTTTGAGATTCGAATAACTCCACAAGCAAGATTGATCATGTCGAGCTTGAAACATGTAACCTAAACTACATAGAATTGCAAAGAAACTTAGCCATTGGCTAAAGAAAGCACAAATGCTCCTTTTACTATATTTTCAAGTCTATTAACAAATACAACATACATGGCTTTATATAGCCTCAAAATGAAACTACTAAAGGCATTCCAAGAGTTGTAACATTCATGCTTAATGGCCTTAATTAACCATTATGTAATTGTAACCTAAAGTAAATTAAAAGTCTTAAAATACATTAATGAAATACAATAACTCTAAATTACTCTAAATTGTAATCCACCTGAAATTCAAAACATGAAACTTCATTCTTCTTCAATGTGGCATGAATTGAAATATCTTTTGATAATTTCAACAATATTTTCTTCACATCTTCATTGAAGCATATTGTATGACTGATGTCTCTTGATTCATATCATTCTCGAAGGGCAGTCATTATTGAATTGGTTAGCAATTAACCAAATTGGTACCTGGTTTGTAAGTTCCCCCATTTCAGGCAAACTCTCATCATTTTCTCCCTGGCTCTTATAGTCTTCAGTGGGGCCTTAAGGAGCGTGAAAGGGTACATGGGGATACTATTCAACACCGATTGAGCTAGAGTCGATCTACCTCCCTTGGAAAGGAGGAGGCCACACCACTTGTCCTGTTTCATCACCATTTTGTTGATAATAGCCTTTTCAAATATTCGTGGGAACACTGCTACTAAATCATGCTTCACAATGTTCCATGCTTTTTTAAAAAATTTGCTAGTTGTACCATAGGGGCCTGAGGAATTTTGGTTTCCCATATCGGAAATGGCTTTGAAAATCTCTTCCTCAATAAAAGGAACCTCAATGCTTCCTTTTTCATGCTCTGTATTGATGTAAACATGCTTTTCCTTTCAATGATTATAGCTTTTGCTGATCTAAGAAAGAATGTGAGGTTGGATCTAATGTAATAGTTTGTTTTACATTTCTCCCTCCCCTCCCCTCCCCTCAATTAAATGAAAGAAGAAAAATAAATGTCCGGTTATCATACATTCCCTTTTTTCTTGTTAATCCAAAGCTCCTTTTGGAAGTAACTCTGAGGTTGACAATATTGGTTGATGCTTATTGAATGATAACTCTGTTTCCAACTTTCAGTGGGATGCTTGTCCAAGATCCTACAAAGGGTAATGATGTGGATTCACTTTTCAATCACGCTAGGCAAATGGGAGCTGTGGAAGGCCCTATTGATCATGCCCGTTCATCAACCTCCAGCAGCTTTACTGGAACTGGTAGGTTACTCACAGGAGAAACTGTCCGTTCTGCACCTGATCAGCCTGAGAACGTTGTTCACAATATTGTATTCTGGAGTAATGGTTTTACCGTAAATGATAGCCCTTTGAGGAGGTTGGATGATCCTGAAAACGCATCCTTTTTGGAGGTAGGTGAAATATAATACTGATAATGTTCTAATGAAATATTTGTGTACACATGCACACGCGCACACGTACATGCATCCATGGATAACTTAAGAGCAGAAACAACATGGAATGCTGTTTATAGAAATACTTGACCTTTATAAGTGTTTGTATGGTTTTCGAATTCTTGAAGAAATGTTGCTGGACGTGTTCTTGTTTGTTTAGCTCCGTTGGGTACATTTCGTTCTTCGAATTACTGATTACTGCCCTTAGGTGGGTGTCTTTACATATTTATATGATCTTTCATCAGAGCATCAGAAAGTCTGAGTGCCCCAGAGAGCTTGAACCTGCAGACAGAAGGTCCTCCGTTCATGTGAATTTAATTAGGAGGATGGAGGAGTATCGTGTAAGTTTTTCCTTATTAGATTTCACTTGTTGGTTCTACAATTCCAAGATATACGATCCGTGATAGATGATTTAAACTTACCCATTTAAGGGTCGAGAAACTGTTCGAGTCGATAGTTAACCGTTAAGGAACGGTAAGCATTTTTAAAGATTGTAGGCGTGGAGCGTATAAATGTTAGACATAGTATTTTGCATCTTGCAGGAACCAGAGAAGCCACGTCTTCCATTTCAAGGTGTAGGAAGAACTCTTGGTGGTGGCGCCCCAGCAAACGAGCCAACTGCTACTCTCACCGATGTCAATAGCAGTCCAAGCGCTTCTGCAGGCCCGGTCGTGGATGACTCGTTGCCATCAACCTCGATTCAGCTTCGGTTGGCAGATGGAACACGCATGGTAGCTCATTTCAATTACCATCACACAATCAGCGATGTTCGTGCTTTCATCGACGCGTCTAGGCCGGGGGGTGCCAGGAACTATCAGCTGCAGTTGATGGGCTTCCCTCCCAAGCTTCTTAGCGACCTGACTCGGACAATCGAGCAGGCCGGTCTTGCCAATTCTGTCGTCATCCAGAAGTTTTAGCAAACTAAGATAAGCTCTCTATGCAGTATTGAAATGGTTCTCAGATAGTCTTTCAGTACATTTGCTGTTATAAGTTACTGCCTGCATTTTCAGCATCAATCCACCAAAACTGGTCTTTTATAAATTTCATCAGACTACAGAAGCGGAAGAGGTTCAATACTTTGTAGAGGTAAACAGTTAGTGTTGAAGGATCGCATCAGAAACACCCTTTACCCGGGAGTGATTTTGAGATCGTTAAAATCACTTTGAAAACACACTTTTGACGACGTGAAAATTGAGTTTAAAAGTGTAAATAAATTGAAATTTAACTTGTTAGGACATGTTAATTTTGAATCTGATAAAAGCGATTTTAATCATTTCAAAATCACTCTCGTGCAATCCAAGGCAAGCTCCTAATATTTGGATTAACCATGCGACATGAAGCGTAGAGTGTAGGCACAGGGAGAGCTTTGGATATTCAAATATCAAACATTTACAAGTCACAATGCATTATAACATCGGTTACAAATATTAAATATTTTTAATCTTTTTAAAATCAAGTAAGGTTGTAATCCTATTCTCGCTGTAGCATTATAAACATTATTATTACTCTTACTCCCGTCGGGATAAATCTGACCCCTTCCCCTGTTCCCGCCTACGTATATGGGATATTTTAAGAAGTGTGAACATCTTTCTTAGTCGCAAGGTCCGGAGAAAGAATAGGAAAGGTGATTTCACTATATTTCTGACCAGGAACGGGTCCTATCACAAGAATATTTTTTTTAGTGGGACGATAGCTCTGAAAAGACAGATTGCCCATCTTTTCTTTAATCTCGGGAGAAATACGATCGGGGGGGGCTAATTCAAACCCTTCGGGTAAAATAAGAACAACCCCCACATTCAAACTGCCCCTTTTCCCATTCGCAAAAACTTGTTTCAGTTGCATATCATAAGGAATTCGAACAACTGCTTCAAATACAGTATCAGGAAGTACCGCTTGTGGAACCTTGATATCCACGGGCTTATAGCAAAATGGCAGTTGGCGTTGGTCGGATTTACTTGACCAAAAAAATGTCAACCTACAAATTGAAACGAATTTATGGTTTTCCAAAACTTTTAACCCAACCCAAACTGAGAAAAATCTAATCCAACTCAACTTTTATGGTTTGGGTTAGGTAGTCCACTAGATTGGATTATCGAGTCATATGAACGCTCTATCTAAGTTGATTCAATTGAAGTTTAAGGTAAAACTGATACAACTCATTTGTTTTTTCAATCATAGGGAGTTGAAACATCTACGTCTTAGATAATAATTGTTACCTCCTACGCTTAGCTTGGCCAACTCGACAACTTTATTTCTTTCATAAAATAACTAATAAAAATTATGGTATGATTAACCTTTGTAATCAAATTTCTTCCTTTTATGGCACCAACGGTACAATATGCTTTATTTCAAAAGAAAATAAAAAAGGTACAATATCCTCAAAAAGACAAATTGTACTTCTAAAAAGTAATAACTTCATATATATTTATTTATAACTAAAATATTATTTTGTTCGTCGATTTTTAGGTATCTCGGGTCGATAAGAAGCTTCATTATTGGAATGAGTTCATATTCATCCTACTCAACTATAAAGAAAATTTAATTAATTGAATTATACTCAAGTTGATAAAATATATATATATATATCGTGGATAATTCAAAATTATATAGAACAAAAGTAAAGGAAACGAAAGAGGTATGGGTATTGACCCAATAACCTGAAGAAACTCTACTATCTAACTCGGGTTGAGTTGAGTTAGATTTTTTTTTTCTTTCAAGTTTGGGCTGAGTTGGATTTTGAAAATTTGAAGATTCAACACGACCTGTTCAAAGATAGGAATCACAACTCAACTCTATATCCCTATTTTAAAGATTTTTGTGAAGATTAAAAATATTCGACGTTCGTAACAGGTCAGAGTTCGACTTGGTTTGCAGAATGAAACTTTTTTTTGTTCGGGTCAACTCTGACCAGTTGGAAGATTAAAAGTAGTAGACGTTCCTAAGAGGATAGGGTCGGGTCGGGTCGGGTCAGGCTATTAATATACTAAAAAGAAATAATATATAAAAGTAAAATTAAAGCATAAATAAAAGAAAAGGAAAAAGAAATGAACATACAGAACTTCCAACGTACGTGTGAATGTAAAAGGTCCCGATTGCGCTCCAGAGAAGGCGTCAGTCTGGATAGTGTTCATCTTCAACGATGATGAGATTAATGATGACGAGCTAGGGTTTCTGTTCTTCCCCCAATTGCTAGGGCTTTCCAAACGCCAAATTACGACCTTCTTTCTTCACTTCTACTGTCATATCTCTCAATTCCGTGCTAATTTCGTCACTCTCCCATTGCTCTCTCACTGATGGCCAAAACCAGACCAGGCAAGAAAGACCTGGACGCTTACACCATCAGAGGCACCAACAAGGTTGTTAGAGGTAAACTCCTTCGCCTAAAACTATGGAAACTTGTTTCATTTTGCGTTAAATATGCTCTCTCTCTCTCTCTCTCTCTCTCTCTCTCTCTCTGTCGTTCCACTAGAATATCGTCCAATGGTGCTTTAGGAGTTCTGATTTCGCGGATTTTGCAGTTGGAGATTGTGTATTGATGCGCCCATCGGAGACGAGTAAGCTTCCGTATGTTGCGCGTGTCGAGAAGATCGAAGCTGATAATCGGAACAACATTAAAGTTCGAGTGAGGTGGTACTATCGGCCGGAGGAGTCGATTGGGGGGCGGAGGCAGTTCCATGGTGCTAAGGAGCTCTTCTTGTCTGATCACTACGACTTGCAAAGTGCGCACACCATTGAAGGGAAGTGCATTGTTCATACGTTTAAGAACTATACTAAGCTTGAGAATGTTGGTGCTGAGGATTATTATTGTAGATTTGAGTACAAGGCTGCTACTGGAGCTTTCACGCCTGACCGAGTTGCTGTGTGAGCTTTTCACTTTTTTGTTGTATCGAACGGATTCTGGTGCAAATTGCTTGAATGCATTTTGAATGTTCTTGTTTTTTCTTGCAGCTATTGCACATGTGAGATGCCTTACAACCCAGACGACCTCATGGTGCAGTGTGAGGGCTGCAAGGACTGGTAAATATTAATGTTAATTCTGGGAACTAATGTTTACTTTTGTGTACTGAATCCCAGAATCCTTTTGTGTATTTGCACATTCCAGAGTGAAATGTTTACACAAGTAATTGAAGGTTCGAATTTTTTTGATGCATGGCATAATGAATTAAGAGAGAATTTAGGATAACTTTTAAGGTATTGTTTTAACGGGGCACACTTTTTTTTTTTTTTTTTTTTTTAACTTTTTGCAAGAAGCACTAATCAAGTGTTCTCACTTTAAAATTTCTTTTTGAGTGTTATTTGATCTTTCAGATCACTTTTTGCCATGTGACCAAATATCATGGAAATTTTGAAATTACTTTTAATTTGTTAAATGTCAGCTTTATGAACCTCACCTTAAGTTTGTATGAATTAACAATTGAAGAATGTTTAATCAAAGATAAAGTTCTAGATACACTGAAATGGCTTTTAGCATCGATTGATAGATGCACCACAGACATTATTAGTCCATATAACGGTCATCTTAATCGGTTAATTAGTGTTCTATCCAAAGGTGAAGAAGCTAATCGTCAAAGTGCAATGTGATGTGCAGTCTTTTATGGATTGTAATGTGTTGCTAGAAATGGAATATTCACTCGAACTCCATAACTTAGTTGTGGTTGAAGTGGTTTTGTTATACCATTTTGTTTAATACTGGAACTTTTTAGAGAGCCCGAACTCGAGAGTTTTCTGGAAGCACAAACCTTTTATGTTTCCTTTGGCCTATAGGTACCATCCTGCTTGCGTAAGCATGACTATCGAGGAAGCAAAAAAATTGGACCATTTTGTGTGTTCTGAATGTGCATCCGATGCTGATATCAAGAAAACTGAGAATATATTTTCAGCATCACCGGTGGCCGAGGACAAGGTTAGTACTGTTATCTGTTGCTTCCCAAGTAGAATGGTAGTTGAATATGAATCATCTTCTCCAGCATATTAGCCTTTTTGATTCGCGTCAGTCGTTCTTTTTCTTTTTTTTCCTTTCTTAGAATTTAAAGATTAACTCAGTAGCACACGGCAGACATGAAGACAAATGAAATACATGCAATGCTCGCCTTTTAGTTAATTCTATATGCTGAGCTTCAGTTTGGTTTCTTTCCAATCACTTAAGTCATGTTTTTTATTAACTTAGAAGGTTTTTCTTTTGATTCACTTGCTATTTGTTTTCCAAAAGCCAGTCTTGTGATTATTAAACAATGCCCATTGGGCTTCCTTTTTTATGATAACCAATCTGCGATTATCATCTACTTTCTCATGTCTAATGAATAATTCAGGTGCTATTGTTATGTGTTTGGTGAGTTTATCCCAAATGGTTGGTCGAATGCCTTCCAATATCTGTTACTTCTACTGTCGTATTTGTTTAAATTAGAATTCATTGAATGAAATAATTATATACCAGATATATCGTTTTGTTTTCTGCGTCTGCCAAATATTCCTCTTAGCTCAAGAAAATTCTGACAGCTATCTAAAACGTGTCTGTGTGTATGATAAAAAGAGTTCAGAGTTTTTTTGTCAATTTGATTCATCAATGAACAAATTCATTTTTCTCATAATAATTATGAAAACAAACAGTTTCTTATTTTCAAATGTTATTTTTTTGGGCTTGCCCATGTCATATTGGTCAATTGCTTAGTTGTTTCTGTATAGTTTTTTAACTTTCTAGCGCAAGTTGTTTCAAAAGACCCTATGATCCATCCAACTAAGAGGATGTCATTTGTTGGGAGGCCATCTTCCCGAAAGTTAAGGCTCAAAATATTAGAAGTACTGGAATCTCCCCTACGCCGCCCACCCCCTTTGGACAAAATCAATGATTTCTTATCTGTCAATGCAAGTACATTATTATAATGACACCTTTTATCATTGTTATCATTCTAGATTTGAGCTGTATTGTGTAAGTAAACTTTTCCAATAACTTGACAGTTCCCTCTAAGTTCAAGGAGGTAGTTTATTTGGAAAAATCAATACTCCTTTCAGTTTTCAATTTCAGACATGGGTGCATGG